TAACGTGCTCTTTTCGTAAACTATTTCAATACAAAAATATATTACCGGGCTTCCCTGGTGGCACAGTGGTTAAGAATCCACCTGCCTGGCAGGGGAAAATGGGTTCGAGCCCTGGTCTGGGAAGATCGCACATGCCACAGAGCAAATAAGCCTGTGCACCACAACTACTGAGCCTGCGCTCTAGAGCCCGCAAGCCACAGCTGCTGAGCCTGTGTGCCAAAACTACTGAAGCCCGAGTGCCTACAGCCAGTGCTCCACAACAAGAGAAGCCACCACAATGAGAAGCCCACGCACCACAACGAAGAGTAGCCCCCGCTCACTGCAACTAAAGAAAACCTGTGCACAGCAAAGACCCAACACAGCCAAAAATAAAAATTAATTTAAAAAAATATATACATATATTACCAAGTGCATCCATAACAATCCCTCCAGCTACCTCCCTCAGCCCGACTCCTATTAACAATGGATTATGTCCTTCCAGATTTTTTTCTTGCATATATATACATATATAAACATATACTATATACATATATAAACAGGAGCAACCATGATGCATATTATTCTATACTAAACATACATGTTTTTCTTCTTTTTAATTCAATAACTTGGGCATCTAGTTGAACATATACAGAGCTAATTATAGGGGTGTGTCTTATTTATTTTATTGGTCCTCTATTGATAGACAGCTTAGACTTTTTTTTCTATTACAATGTCACATCTTTGTGACATTATATCTAACTTCATGCACTTGAGAGACTATTATTAAGGGTACATTTTTAGATCAAATGCCATGCCCATCTGACAGGTTTACCAAATTTTCTCTAAAAAACACTGAACTCACTTACCCTTACCAGATATAGATACGTTTGCCCACCCTTAACCACAATAGATACTGTCACTTTTTAAATCTTAATATCTGATGATCTGATAAAAAGGCCCTTCTTAGTTTGCTTATCTTTTGATTGTCAGTGAACTTTAGCACGATTTTGCATATTCTTTCTAACAACAACAAAATGAGTCATTCATCTTTTCTCATTAGTTTGTACGATCTCTTTGGTATAGTAGAGATATTGACTTGTGTTGTGTCGGCTACAGACTTTTTCCCCCCTGGTTTGTTATTTCTTAAAAGTTTTTATGGCATTCTGTGCTGGAAAGTAATGCAACAAAGGTTGATAAGAGACTACACCACTCACTATCCTTTCACCTTAAGCAAGTTTTTTTGTCTTTCCAAGCCTATTTCTTTAAGTGAAACATGGGAATATGAACAGCATCCAACAGCACTGTATGAAGAATAAATGTAAAGTCTTAATGCAGTGCTCAACAGTCTTCACAATTATTAAGATTTTTTGAGAGATTTGCAATTAATTCCGGTGTGGAAATAAAACAGAAATCCAGCTTTATTTTTACTGACCATTTGTTGAATACACCATTTTCCCTCAACTGATCCGAAATGTTAACTTCATCATGATTAAACTGCCATGTTCTGAGGTCTATTCTGGACTCTCCTCTGTTTGATTAATCTATCTATTCCTGCAACAACCTATTACTGTATGTATATCTTGTATCTCAACTCACCCTTTACTTTCTACAAGTCTCCTAGCTTTTCTGTTTGTTCTTACAGATGCTTTTAGGAATAATTTTGTTAAGTTCACCCTGCATTCATGTCCCTGTTCTTCTCTCCCCCAACCCCCACCCCATCCCCAAATGCCCCCCGTGGGACAGAATTAGGGCTGCATGAAATTTAAAGACCTGATTCATGAAGAGTCAATGTCTTCACGATACTGCATCTTCCTATGATTTTTAGCAAAAGGAAGACGTCTGTACAACTGTTTGTTTGGGGTATTTGATAATGATTTAAAATCAGTGCCTAACAGAGGATGAAGTTTTCTCCAGTACATAAACACAAATGCAAAAATGTGAATTAAAAGTTTCCTCCTCTCTGATCACATCCTCCCATCCTTCCAGATCACTTCTTCAAGAGTGCTCAATAAGCAATGATCACTGGACCACATCAAAAGCTCCCATTCCTCTGACTTCCTCAGCTTTTCTACCTTATTTCTAAATGTTGGGCTCCTCAGGGCTCAACCCTGAACCTGCTCCTCTTCTGTCTCCACACTCTACATCTGGGTGAGTCAGTTATTGCCATGGCTTTAAATATGCTCTAACAACCGTTCCGTTTGTGTTTCTCTTCTGATTTCCAGACATTCCCATTGACACCTCACAGGCTCCTCAAACTTAACAAGTGGAACTTGGGCTCACTCTCCCGTTTCCTGTCAGAGACCAGCCAGTGGCCCCAAACCTAAAAGACTTGAGTGTCATCTTTGACTCCTTGGGCCCCACACACCGCTTCTCTAATCAAGCACCCAATAAATCCAGTTCATTCTACCTCCTAAACAGCTTTCAAATCCAGACTTCTGTCCGTGTGCCCTGCCACTCCCCTAGACAGATGGCCATCATCTCTCGCCTGGCTTACCACCACAGCCTTCTAACCACCCCCCTGGTTAGTCTCCCTGCTTTCAGTCCTATCCCAGTCTGAACCAGCTCCTTAAAGGACCAGGCCACTCCCAATTACCTGTTCTCATGCTGTGATCCACCCACAGACCGTGTTCTATTAATACTGGCCTTTTTTAAGTTTTTCAAACACAAGTTCTTTTCTGCTTTAGGACCTCTGACACGCTGTTTTCACGTTACCCTAATTTTCACCCAGATGACTCCTCTGTACCTGTCTTGTCTAAAAGTCATGCTCTCAGAGATGCCTTCTCTGATCATCTCATCTAAAGAAGGCCCTTCCTTTACTCTCTACCAAAGCGTCCTTTTAGTTCCTTAGCACTTATAATTTGAAATTACATATTTGTGGTTAAATATCTACCTCCCCCATAAAAGTACATTCTCTGAGAGCAGGAACCAGGTCTGTTTTTATTTACTACTTTATACTAAGCCTGAACAGTGCTAGTCACATAGTAGGCCCAATAAATACTTGCTAGACGAATGAATGAGTAAATCGCTGACTCATGTAAGATAGGAAAAACTTCTTTACGGAGTAAACTGTTTACTACCTCGTCAAAGGGACTATAATGATTATGTTTTATTTGATGATGTGTGCTCCTAAATGACATGAATATAAGGTTTGTTTCATAAAGTAAGAGTTTTCTAGATGTATAAAGAAATTTTAATATACGTAGGAAGAAGCAAATTGGCCTGTACCGCTAATTTATACATTATCATAGCTTCTGACCTTACCACCATCAATGAAAGTAAAATCCAGTATTTCTTCTCTAAAGGATTATTCCATCGGCATCTACTCCATAACATCCTCTACCTTAAAAATAACCCTCCTCTTTTAACTCTGACCTTCTCTAGCTACATCCCCATTTCTTTTCCCTTTCTAGAAAACGTCACAAGTCAGCTCTACCTGTATCCAGTATTTTCACTTCCTCCTTTTCCGTTTCCCACTGAGCCCACACTCCATGGGGCTTTCACCTACCATTCCAACAAAAGCCCTCTTCTTAAGTCACCAAAGGTTAAAACAATAGCTATATATAGGGCTGAAGTAAACAGTCCATGGGATTTTCCCTCTAACTACAGAAAAACATAATTACCTAAATCACTGGGAAGATGGAGCTTTTTATAAAATCTAGTATCTTAATATCATGAATACATTAAATAATTAACATTTCTTTAAATATCAAATGACCAATTTCCTCTAGATATTTATATACAAGTTATTCAAATTATAAATCAAAGTTAAGAATTTACTAAATTAAATTTCCCCAAATATTTATCTTCTGCAGTTTGGCTCCTAAACAAACTGCAAGTGAAAGGTTTTAGAAATAGAGATATGACTTCAGAGAGAAAAGGCGGAGGGTGATACAATGAAGTCACTCTGTTCCAAGTCTTATTACATTTTTTTCCATCTATTTTCAAAGAAATGTGGCAAATTAGGATGTGGGATGCCAGAAGTATTGGCAGCTTCAAACTGTCTAACTTAGAAAAAGCTGCTGCAGAGGTAAATGTTTAGGTAGGAAACACAATCAAATGTGCTGCAGTATTTTGTATTGAATACTTTGGATTAGAGCAACAGTTAGTACCTGAAGATTTTCTAGCATCATTTTATCCAGAGCTTGAATGAAGTCCTCATCTTCTACACAAGGTACATGTTTGAGTCCACCTCCTTTAATCATTACCTCCTTATAAAAACAGAATAGAAACAAGAATTCAGACCAGAAATCCTAACTGTAATGTTTTGTATGGCAGAACCTTCTGTATTGATAACTTTTTCAACATAACTCACGGAATGAGTGAGCAATATAACATTATTATATATTCATAGAACTTGTTAATAAAAAGTATTTAGATAGGAAAACAACTTAAAAATGAATTTCCAAAGAAACATTATTTCAATTATCACAAAACTAAAACTTCAGTGGCTAAAATTGAAATATTATGAAAATAATGCACAATTTCAAAAAGCGAATTTTCAGCCATACGTACAGTATTTTCTTCATCAGTTTCATTCTCCTTATTTGAATCCGTGAGGTAATCTGTATTCTCTTCCTCTTCTTCCTCCCCTTCATCGTCGTCATTATCAGAACCCTCCTGAAATTAACATTTGTAGAAGAGTAAAACATTTTGAAAAACATTACTACTTTTACATGCATTAAAAAGATGTTAAATTTCTGTAAAATTATTTATTATTCTCTGGTTTCAGCCTTTTATGCAGTCTGCCTAGAATGGTAGGGCGAAGTCAGCTGGCAACATGTACTACATACCAGTAGGTGAAAACCCATTTCACATTTTCCACTGATCTAGTAATACAAAGATCCTTTGCAGAAACTCCTCCTTGAATTCCACAAGGAACGAGTTTCCTGAACCTTTTGTTATTTTTCTCCTCCCTAACTTGAGACTGATTTTCTCATAGTAGTTCTTTAATACCCATCTAACTCTGCAATGAAAACTGACAATTCAAATTTAACATCATTACCATTTGAAAGCAATGACACTACATTTTATAAAGCACCTCATTGTATAAAGCACCTCAGTTTAGAAAGTGCTCTCACAGCATTTTGTTTCCTCTACCTAATTCTGAAGAAGGATGTATAAGCTTTATGGTCCTCATTTTTATATGTGAAAAAACTAAGGCTCAGAAAAGTTAAGTGACTTGCCCAAGGACACGTGCTTTATTAAGCAGAGGAGATAGACATTCTGACTCCCCTTGCTGGTGGCTTTCAAGTACTACATCTCTCCATCCTCTCCTGTCAGTCCCCCCAGCATCCTTTTCTCTCAGCCAAAATTCCTTTTCAAACGGAAGATTGGGCAGAACTCCAGTGAATTTTCAAAGAGGCACAAAAAACCCAAAACTATAACCATAACCAAAACCAAAAAAACCCCAACCACACAGGGGCAGCATTCCATCTGAGTATCCTTCCAACACAATTCACTCCCACTCTGTTCCATAAAAGTTTTTTTTTAAAGACTACACTAAACCCAGCTGCTTCTCATTGTGCCAAGAGAAATAAAGTGAATGAGAAATAATTCCTAAGAGAAAACAAATGATTTAAATTTGTTATAACACTTCTAGTATACACAGAAATTGATTTTAAAAATCCAAACAGTGCATTATTACTTATATAGAGACATTTGAAAACTTTTAGAATTTCTGAAGTGGAAATAGTTGAGGAAAATACAGAAAGGCATTAACTTTTTTTCAAATGCATTAACCTTTTTTGACATAATTCTATAATTCAAATTTAAATTTGCAATAGAAATGCTCTTAAATTGGCCCTTGAAAAAATTAATCATTTCTTAACACTTGAAAGATGCTTCCTATTCAAAAACTAAGCTAAAACGCATTAACTCTTTTCTTTCACCATTTTTTATATTGCTCAAGCAAAATAAAACGGATTAACTTTTGAAATTAAAACGCTGAACAAGAAATCTCCCTGTCCTAATCCCATGGTCATAATAACCTGTGAGGTGAGGAAGTCAACAGACCACATGAGCTGGTAAGGAAAGGAGATGGTCAGCACAGCACAAGTCAAACTGTCCAAGTTCAAATGCTGGCTTGCTAGGACCTGGGGCAAATAATTAACATATCTGTGCCTTATTTATCACCTAACTCATAGGGTGCCAAGAGAAATGGTAATATGAACACAATGACCATGCTTAATAAATATTATTGCTATTACAATAATGAATCTTGTACTTTCTCTAAAATGCTGTAGAAAATTAGAATTTTAGCAGAAGAACATTTACTTCATCTTTAAAGTTACTTTTAATTTACCCAGCTGATACTGAGAAGAAAATATTCTGGTTGTTATGTGCTAAGAATAACTTCAAAAGGCCCTATGGAGCTTGGAAGAGTTGTGGACCAAGATGGAAAAGAAGAGTACAACTTTCCTGAAGAGTTCCACTCCAGCCCTGTTCTTTCTCAGTCGAGGCAAATATTTACAGAATATCCTACATTGTTCTTACTACTTTATAATCGACCCATCTTCTCTCTTTAAAAATGTGGGCTTCCCTGGTGGCGCAGTGGTTGAGAGTCCGCCTGCCAATGCAGGGGACACGGGTTCGTGCCCCTGTCCGGGAAAATGCCACATGCCACGGAGCGGCTGGGCCCGTGAGCCATGGCCGCTGAGCCTGCGCGTCCGGAGCCTGTGCTCTGCAATGGGAGAGGCCACAACAGTGAGAGGCCCGCGTACAGCAAAAAAAAAAAAAAAAAAAAAAAAAAAATTTTCTCCTCCCTATGTTTGGAGGGTACTGGTGGGAAAGGATGGTCTCGGGTGGGAGGGCAAACAATTCCAGCTCCATTTCCTTAAAGTAAACCAACCATTCCTTTCAATTCTCCTCCCAGACAAGGCTCATGAGTCATCCTATTGAACATTTTGTTTTTCCACTTAGGAAACACACATATATTATGTATAATATCCATTTTGCAACTGGAAAAGAAATAGTTAAAATGATACAATTTTTAAAATTATAAAGTTCACTTCTGAAAAGGAGAAAATGCGTTTAGAGGAGAAAATATAATACAGCTATTCAAATGAGAAATTTATAGGAAAATGAGTCACTCTTTAATGTCATATTTACTGAAGATGTTTAATTTATTAGATTCTTTATCTAATTAGTGCGGTAGCAAAATGCAAAGACAGCCATAAGATTAGCCTAAAAATACAAAATGGAAATACTCTCTCATTTCCTTTTGTTGTTATAAAGTACTTAATAAGCCAATTTAAATTATATAATTGAATGTTTCTACGACAAACTCATTTTTTAAAAAAGCAATATAGGGACTTCCCTGGTGGCGCAGTGGTTAAGAATCTGCCTGCCAGTGCAGGGACACGGGTTCGAGCCCTGGTCCGGGAAGATCCCACGTGCCGCAGAGCAACTAAGCCCATGTGCCACAACTACTGAGCCCGTGTGCCACAACTACTGAAGCCCACGCGCCTACAGCCCATGCTCTACAAGAGAAGCCACTGTAATGAGAACCCCACACACCACAACAAAGAGTAGCCCCCGCTTGCCACAACTAGAGAAAGCCTGCATGCAGCAACAAAGATGCAACAAGGCCAAGAATTAATTAATTAATTATTTTTCTTTTTTTAAAAAAGGAATATAGCAATGTCCATCTCTTACATAGAAATCAATTATAGAAACATATTCCAGTTCTAAATTTTTATCAATTTATTTATATCTACTTTAGGGGAGTGGTCAGGTTGGAAAGAGAAAGTGCTGGCAATACTGTATTGTATATTTGAAATTTGCTAAGAGTAAATCTTAAAAGTTCTCATCACACACACAAAAAAACATTTATAACTATGTGAGGTGATGGATGTTAACTAAGCTTATTATGGTAATCATTTCCCTCTCTCTCTCTCTCTCTCTCATATATATATATATATATATATATATATATCAAATCATTATGTTATATGTACACCTTAAACTAATACAATGTTATATCAATTATATCTCAATAAAACTGGGGGAAAAAGTGGTAGCAAAATAACAACACAAAGGTGCATTTCTACTGCCTATAAATGCTAACCAATTATAAAAACCATACATTATTATTTATGCTGCCTTTTACACAATATTTCATTTTTAACTAATAGCAAAGCTATTTGCTATGTAGTCAACTCATATGAAATGTTCATTAATAGCTACAGACCTTCAGGGCTAAAAAAAAAAAAAGACTTAGGGATTTCTACTTCTAACTGTAGAAAATCTTAATTACCTTAAATTATTGGTCATTTCTTAAAATTAATTAATTAATTAATATTTATTTTTGGCTGTGTTCGGTCTTCATTGCTGCGTGTGGACTTTCACTAGTTGCAGTGAGCGTTGTGGTGCACAGGCTTCTCATTGCAGTGGCGTCTCTTGTTGCAGAGCATAGGCTCTAGGCACATGGGCTTCAGTAGTTGTGGCATACGGGCTCAGCAGTTCTGGCTCGCGGGCTCTAGAGCACGGGCTCAGCAGTTCTGGCTCGCGGGCTCTAGAGCACAGGCTCAGTAGTTGGGGCGCATGGGCTTAGCTGCTCCTCGGCATGTGGGATCTTCCCAGACCAGGGCTCAAACCCATGTCGCCTGCACTGGCAGGCAGATTCTTAACCACTGCGCCACTAGGGAAGTCCCTATGGGTCATTTTTCTTTCACACTAAATGAAGCTTTTTAAAAATCCAGTTTATGAATCTCTCTTATGAATGCCTTAAATAATTTACATTCCTTTATACATTAAACAACCCATATCCTCTAAACATTTGCATTCTATTTACTCAGGTAAATCAAAACTTAAAAATTTAATAAATTCAATTTCCACAAAACATTTAAATATTGATTATAAATTTAAACTTTTTAAATATTTAATTAAAATCACACTTCTAAATTATCACACTCTCCTAAATGCTTTTAGCACCCGAGTCACAAAGAAACCATACACATGATATCATAATTATAAGCTTACAAAGTGAAAAAGTGCTAATTCCATGGTTTAAATTTTATATTCATCAGTATTTTATTGTTATTCTTATTCATCCTGCTTTTCATTTTCTTAACTTTCTAATTTAAATATATATTAATGTAGACAGAATAGCAAAAGGAACCCTTACCCATTACACAACTGAACAATTATTAGCTAATGGTCAGGTTATAGTTTCTTGTATATCCCTAACTCATTGCCCAGTCTACTTCCAGGTTATGAAGCAAACCCCAGATACTCTATTGTTTTAGGTGGAATTTTTAAAACTTAAGCAGCTTTAGAAGAAAAAAGGAACGAATTAAGACTATTAGGTTGAATCATATGTGAAAATGACATTTTGGTAGGTCCGAAATGGTAGAACAGTCATTTCATATGGTTTGGCCTAACAGAGTTGTAAAAACAAAAGGGCACGCTGATGATTATGGTGCATGATGATTTTCAGATTTCCTATACTATCAGATCTGGGAAAAAGCAAAGTTATTAACATCTAGTCCACAATTTTTTCATAAAATCTATAGGTTAAAAAGTCCACACTCAAAAGTGAGATTAAGGGTACTTCCTGGTGACCCAGTGGTTAAGACTCTGTGCTCCCATTGCAGGGGGCACAGGTTCAATCCCTGGTTCGGGAATTTAGATCTCACATGCAGCACGGTGTGGCCAAAAAAACAAAAGTGAGATTAAGATGCATAGCAGATCGGGACTTTCCCGGTGGCACAGTGGTTAAGAATCTGTCTGCCAATGCAGGGGACACGGGTTCGAGCCCTGGTCCAGGAAGATCCCACATGCCGCGGAGCAACTAAGCCCGTGCGCCACAACTACTGGGCCTGCGCCCTACAGCCCGCAAGCCACAACTACTGAAGACCGCCTGCCTAGAGCCCATGCTCCACAACAAGAGAAGCCACCGCAATGAGAAGCCCGCACACCACAACAAAGAGCAGCCCCCGCTCGCCGCAACTAGAGAAAACCTGCGCACAGCAACAAAGACCCAACGCAGCCATAATTAAATAAATAAATAAAATTTTTAAAAAAGAAAAAACATACATAGCAGATCAAACAATTTTTTGTCTTCAAATTGCTTATTAAATAAAAATCCTAACCATAATGATGGATACTTGTCATTATACTTTTACCTAAACCCATGCAAAAAGTACACCACCAAAAGTCAACTGTAATGTAAATAATGGACTTAGGGTGATCACGATGTGTTGCTATAAGGTTCATCAGTTGTAACAAATGTACCACTTTGGTGGGGGATGTTGATAACGGGGGAGGGTTGTGTGAGTAGGTACGAGCAGGTGACATATGGGAAATCTCTGTATCTTCCCCTTAATTTTGCTGTAAACCTAAAACTGCTCTAAAAAAATGGTCTTAATAATAGTAATTTTAAAAAATCCTATGATCAGTATTTTCTTACTTGTAAAAAAAAAACCTCTTAATTAATCCAGCAGTTTTATAATAGACATATACTACTAGTTACATGTACTCTATTAAAACTAAAGAGGAGATCTTATCTTATACATTAAAGAAAATCTTGGCTCATATAATCAAAATACTCTTACAAATGTACCTATTTTGCTATAAATAAAAGTCATCACCTCTTCCTCTGGCTCATTCACTTCACTTTCATTTCCAGATTGTTCCTCTGTTTCAGCTCCTCCTTCTTCTTCTTCTTCATCTTCTTCAAGATTTTCTCCTTCTGTCATAGAATCTTTTGAGTCTTTGTCATTTACTAGGCCTTGAAGTGAAGAGAAAGTAGAAAAAGACATTAAAAAAAAAGATAAAGGCAAGTTTTCGACAGTGAGTATTACACCACTTAAAGTATGTATTAAGATAATTCAACAGCCATGTTCTCAGAATAAAATAAAAACAGAATTTAAAACTATTTTGAGAACCATTTAAAAAACTTAATTAGATCTTTATTTCAACAAAGGAGCACTGATACATTTCTTAACCACTAGCCAAAAAAAAAATTTTTTTTTCCCTTTCTCAAAGCTGCAAACTGTTTATCTCAGTCTCAGATGAACAAAGGCAAACAGTAGCAGCACATAAGGTGCAGCTTCAGCCACATACAATGCAACCTTGCTAACACTTTTTATCAAATGATATTTCAAGAATCTCTAAAAACTCAATGATATAATAAAATTATATCGCTTTAATGGAGAAGTCACATTTGACTATCAATTTGAATGTCTGCAAATTAAGACTGAGGGAAGGAAGCAAAGCTATATGGTGACACATCTAACAGCTGTGTCACCAAAGACCTTGTTCTTTGCGTCAGTAACAGCGTGTTCCTCCAAAGGGAATTCCCTGGCTTGAATCTCCTTCCTCCTCCTCATGTTCATCCACATTTTGCTGCCTAGTCAATTCTTCTTTATTGTCATTTGAGTTCCAAACTACTCTCTACTTTCAAGATGCACATACCATGGTCTCATCTGATCCGGCTTTTCCCCACGCTCCCTAGTCCTAATCAAGCCTTTTCCTGTAGTTGGGGTAGACTCTTCTGTGTCACAAAGTACACTACCTTGGGTTAGTGATCATCAAATTGCTTCTCCCTAGAGAATACTGTTCAATATGCACTTTCAAATCCTACACATTCTTCAAATTCAGTCTAAGTTTCACTTCCTGCATAAACTCACTGAGTACTACTTTTCCTCCTACTTACTCTAAAGCCCTTGGAGAATTGATCACATCACTTTACATTTAAAGATACACCATGTAATGGTTTTTCTAATGATTTCAATACATGTTACATCAGATTATAAGAGCCTTGAGAACAAAACACTTTCTTTATATATTCAAAACTCATTAGAGGCCATATTGATAAATACACAGTAGGTGTTTAGTAAATACTTGTTTATTCACAGAATCTTAGACAATTAGAGCAGACAGAAACTTTAGTGACGATGTGATTTAACCCTTTCATTTTATGAGGTATATTGAAGCCCAGAAAGTTTGAATAACTAACACAACCAACAAAAACAAAAAATTACTCCAGTGTCTTAAGTCTAACCAATTAAGAACTGACAAAAACACAGATGTACGGAGTGATGAAAGTAGGTACATTCAAGTTTGGAAATTTAAAAAAAAAAAAATTGAGGGCTTCCCTGGTGGCGTAGTGGTTGAGAGTCTGCCTGCCGATGCAGGGGACATGGGTTCGTGCCCCGGTCCGGGAAGATCCCACATGCCGCGGAGCGGCTGGGCCCGTGAGCCATGGCCGCTGAGCCTGCGCATCCGGAGCCTGTACTCCGCAACGGGAGAGGCCACAACAGTGAGAGGCCCGCGTACCGCAAAAAAAAAAAAAAAAAAAAAAAAAATTGAGAAAGATGGGTAAAGCTCAGAGAGATCTGTTTTAAAAGAAAAATAATACTGAGGGAAAAAACTGCTATCTCAGACTGAGATACCATTAACTTACTATTTTATTTATTTATTTGGAATTTCAGAAGCAATATATTGGGCTTTTATGTTATCAAAGGCAAAAAATTAAAAGTCAGCACTATATAAATCTAAGCACTCTCAATAAAAATATCACAGTGCTGATAAACTCACATGGCCTAATATACCATTATACCTTTTTTATAGCCACTTTAAAATACGTGTCACGGGAAGAACTCTAATGAATAAGTAGCTTTGTTTTGATAGCCGTACATCTAATTTGTAAGGAAAATCCTACTATTTCTAACATATTTTCATTTGCATTGCAAGTTAGTTTCAAAAGCAGTTTATAAATATATTTTGCATTTGCTAAGCTGTATAATAAATCGTTCAGTTGCTGACCTCTAGGACGCTGTCAATCTAAAATAAACAATGCAGATAAAAATGTACAAAGGACATAGGGTTAATAAAACATAAAATCTAGACAGTAAAATATTTAAAATGTGAGTCAGAATTAAGTGTACTTGGGGACCAAAATCAAATACTGTTCTCTTGAATTTGAGCTGCTTGATGCCTCAGTTTTCCTGCTCATAACAGACAGTAATAATTGTGATACTCCCTTTCAAATGGTTTTCATTTGTATTTCTCTGCTCACTAGACATGCTGAGCATTTTCCCCACATACTTAATATATCAGAAAGAGCACAGTCTTTGAATTCTGGCTCGATTGTTAACCTAGTATTTTGATTTGGGCTTTACATAACTCACTTGTCAAATATGAACAACATTACCTTCCACTTTAATTTTGGCAAACTGGAAGTACTCAGTAAAAATACCAACTCTTCCCTGCCCTCCCTCATTTGATTATGTTATGTTCATCTATCTGTTGTGTATCAATTTGCCTGTGTTCTTTATGTAAGTGATAATAACCTGGCACAGAAACTATTTTCACTTCAATCTTAGTTATTTCTTTCATCGTACAAAAGTTTTAAACACCCAAATCTGCCAACATATGTGTGCTTTCTTGCGTCATTTTAAAATTTAGGAAAATTACCACCTCTCCAAATATCTGATGATCAGATCTATTTTTAACTTTAAAAAAATATTTAACTCCTCAATCCATCTGGAGTTTGATGACATAAGATGTGGCTCTATGTCAATTTTCCCCCTAAATGCTCACCTGTTGTTCTTATCCTATTTTTAAGATTCCTATTTCGTCATACACTAAATTGTTTTGTGTTTAATTGGGGCACCTTCTGGGCTTTTATTTTATTCTACTGATTTTATTTTTAATTTATGAAATACACTCTTCTGTTTTATAAGTAATTTATTCATATGACTTTGCTTTTTTCACTTTTATTCTTCCCATTTCTGTTCCTTTTATAATATTATAATATAATCTAGAACTTCCAAACCAGAATTAAATTACATTGGTTATTACCATTTTGGTTTTGTTCTTAAAGTGTGTCTTACTGGAGAATGGACTTGAGGAAATGGGGAGGGGGAAGGGTAAGCTATGACAAAGTGAGAGAGTGGCATGGACATATATACACTACCAAACGCAAACTAGATAGCTAGTGGGAAGCAGCCGCATAGCACAGGGAGATCAGCTCGGTGCTTTGTGACCACCTAGAGGGGTGGGATAGGGAGGGTGGGAGGGAGACGCAAGAGGGAGGAGATATGGGGATACATGTATATGTATAGCTGATTCACTTTGTTATAAAGCAGAAACTAACACACCATTGTAAAGCAATTATA